GGGCATTTCTTCCCTGTCCTGTAGGATTGATTCAATGGCAGTGAGTTTTGGTTTTCTGGGAGGCTCTCTGCTTTCAAAATTGAAGGAACTGGCTGAAAAAAAAGAATAGCCTCCTCCGGTGGGGAGTTTTTATTGGCTGTCAAAATTCCATGTTCAGGTATTTATAAATGAGTTGATTTAACAGGACTATATCTTTCCTGATGCAGACTTGAATTTAGGTTTTGGGGTATGGTAAGTTTGGAGGACAAACATTCAAACAAATCTTGGGAAAAACAGTGTCTGAAGGGCTTCATGATTTTCAAGCTGGGAGTGGTTTAATAATTCAAATCCGGTCTCTGGTGAGCGCAAACACAAGGAGCCCTTATCTGTCATATCGAGATGTCCTTACCCTCTGGAATAAGTGCTATGGTCATTTTTTGTTTTGGTTTTGTTTTGATGTGTTTGCTTGCTTGCCTTTACCCTAAAGCTTTTCTTTTTATGACGAGATGTTTGATTAGCGGAGCTCCTGAGCATGCCCCTCCAGGTGCTTGTTGAAGAGGCACTATGATTATGAGAAAAAGACAAGAGCAGGCAATACACCTCATCATCAAATGGATGCACACACACATGCTGCAAATCAGAATGCCTGGCAAACTCTCTTCTCCTCTTTCCAAGTGTAAGAAAGGAGCAGACTTTCTTCAAACCTTTAGTGGCTTACTAAAGCAATTTAGAAGACTGCAACTGGACAAATTTTAAATACAGGCAGTTCCCGAGTTACAGAGATCCGGCTTACAGGCAATTCCTACTTGCCCTTTAATACAGGCTTTGAGCTGGTTCTGCCAGGACTGAAGGAGTAAAACAAGAACAGACTTAGATTTTTACTATTTGAAGGGTTCCTCATGGTCACAGGGAAAACTGTAAGCTGAAATCCTGAACGGGTGACTCTGAGTACTATCCTGAAGAAAAAGTGTGATCAAAGCAATGGCTACCAAGTGGTAGAAGTGGTCCAACCAAAGCAAAAGTGGATTGGTCAATGGTCATGACAACGGTTCTGGGGGATACTGAAGGTATTTTTGCTTGTTGATTTACAGGAGGGCCAATGAATGAAAAACCTGCTTTTTGTGAGAGTATTTTGAGAAAGTTAACCAGAGCTTTAATAGAAATATGCCTGAGAAAATCCACCAGAGTCCATGACAACACTCCTGTTCATGCCTCTCATCTACAAAGGTGAATTTCTGAGAGCGTTTCAATGGGAAATCATTAGGCACCCACCTTCGAGTCCTGATTTGGTCCCTTCCAACTTTTTTTTTGTTCTCTAATCTTAAAGGATCTTTATAGAGCACCCATTTTCCTCCTGCGAATAATGTTTTGGGTTGTTTTGTTTTTTTAAAGGATTCTTAGTTTGTTGGGGATGGTCTAAATGGCTGATATCTTTGTTTACCAAAGTAGCTTGACCTAGACTGGGCTTATAATGAAAGACAAAGTTTATATATTTTTAATTCAAATTCCATTTTCCACTGAAGTTTTTGGAGTTTTCTCACATATATTCCTTTGAATGTCACATATGGCAAATTATCATATGTTTTGTAACTATTTATAACATGTAGATAGAGTGAAAAGGTAATTTGGTTTTTCTGTTTACATCTGAAATGAAAGAAATCAGGAAAAATACCATTTTCGAGACCAATACCTGCTGATTCTGATAGGCAGTGACAGTTGTAAAGACCGTCTCTGGAAAGGAGAACGCCTTCACTCCCTCCCCACATGGAACAGGCTTGACGGGCGACAGATCATCTCCACAATCTTTACGTATGACGTGCACTCGAGGCTGGTATTTGTGCATAGAGTGAAGGATAATCTATGTCAAGGAAAGAAAAGCCAATTCATGAGAAGTGTCTGCCAAATCTTGTCACTATGATTAAATATTTAATATGCCAAATAAATTATGGTGGGTAATGTTAATTTCAAAAAATGCAAAAGGGCTGATATAATTAACTATATCAAAATTGGAACAGGAGTGTTAAGAAATCACCTTTTAAAATTTGTATGGAATGCACAAGAAAAACCATAATTCCAACAAAACCTCAGATACAATCATATAACTTTAGTACGAACTTTTCTATGGCTGAAAACGCACAGATAAATTCACGAGTGCTTTATTTATGGTGAAATCAAACAAAGCTCAAAGTGATCATAATAAAAACAGTGAGATTGAAATGATACTTCAGTTCCGTAGCACCCAACCCTAAAATAAAATATTTTCCTACAATGTCTTCTTCATAAGGCAAATCTCCTCCCTTGGTGATTGCTACTTTGCCCGTTGAAGCACAAAGGGAATTTTACAGACGCCGACTGGTCTGCTTTCTTTGGCTGTGTGGGTGTATTTTGATGTGCCACATCTCTGGTTTGCCTGGAGAGCTCAATGTCACTTTATCCTTCACAGGGCTTCCACAGCACATGTCCAGGGATGGAAACGCTGATGGTCCCACACTCCGCTGGGGGCAATCTGACACTAGGGTGCAACTACTGTGACCATGTTTACAACCTTCTACCCAGGGATCCCTCTTCTGAGAATTTATCCTAAGGAAATATTCCAAATTCAGAACAGCTTTGCATGTACAAAGATTTACAACAAAAGACAACCACGGCTTTATTTGAATTCATTAAATTCACCATTAGCAGAGCAGTTAGAGAAATGAAAACACATCCACACAATGAGATGTGGTATTATTTGAGCAGCACTAATGGTGTTTAGAAAATGTTTAACATGGTGACACATTTCCTTGAAAATGTCAACGACAAAAGAGGATCAAAATTGTTTATGACTTTATTACCACTATATAGAAGTAGAGTAAAACGGGCCCATACAAAAATATGAACGATGATCATCTCTGGGGGATGGAATTCTCATAGGCTCTATAAGGAGCCCTGGTGGTATAGTGGTTAATTGTTGGGTTGCAAACCAAAAGATCAGCAGTTCAAAACCACCAACTGCTCCATCAGAGGAAAACTAGGCTTTCTACTCCTGCAAATAGTTAAAGTCTTAGAAATCCACAGGGGCATTTCTTCCCTGTCCTGTAGGATTGATTCAATGGCAGTGAGTTTTGGTTTTCTGGGAGGCTCTCTGCTTTCAAAATTGAAGGAACTGGCTGAAAAAAAAGAATAGCCTCCTCCGGTGGGGAGTTTTTATTGGCTGTCAAAATTCCATGTTCAGGTATTTATAAATGAGTTGATTTAACAGGACTATATCTTTCCTGATGCAGACTTGAATTTAGGTTTTGGGGTATGGTAAGTTTGGAGGACAAACATTCAAACAAATCTTGGGAAAAACAGTGTCTGAAGGGCTTCATGATTTTCAAGCTGGGAGTGGTTTAATAATTCAAATCCGGTCTCTGGTGAGCGCAAACACAAGGAGCCCTTATCTGTCATATCGAGATGTCCTTACCCTCTGGAATAAGTGCTATGGTCATTTTTTGTTTTGGTTTTGTTTTGATGTGTTTGCTTGCTTGCCTTTACCCTAAAGCTTTTCTTTTTATGACGAGATGTTTGATTAGCGGAGCTCCTGAGCATGCCCCTCCAGGTGCTTGTTGAAGAGGCACTATGATTATGAGAAAAAGACAAGAGCAGGCAATACACCTCATCATCAAATGGATGCACACACACATGCTGCAAATCAGAATGCCTGGCAAACTCTCTTCTCCTCTTTCCAAGTGTAAGAAAGGAGCAGACTTTCTTCAAACCTTTAGTGGCTTACTAAAGCAATTTAGAAGACTGCAACTGGACAAATTTTAAATACAGGCAGTTCCCGAGTTACAGAGATCCGGCTTACAGGCAATTCCTACTTGCCCTTTAATACAGGCTTTGAGCTGGTTCTGCCAGGACTGAAGGAGTAAAACAAGAACAGACTTAGATTTTTACTATTTGAAGGGTTCCTCATGGTCACAGGGAAAACTGTAAGCTGAAATCCTGAACGGGTGACTCTGAGAGGTGTAGCGAGTGCTTTCAGGAGCCTCCGGGTGACACTGGAGTCTTGGCAGGGCCATGGGGAGGCGCTTGCATTCAAAGCAGCACCATCTAGCAGCACACCTAGGTCGTCTTGGAGCCCTGCTTTGACGTTATGTCCATTTGTTTTCATTTTGAAAAAATGTAACCAACCCTGCTCACAACAAATTCTTTATCATAATGACCTCCACTGTGTTGCATATGCCTAGCCAAATGATCGAAAGGGCTTTAAACCTTATCTTACACTGAAGGATGATTAATAAGAACATGTACAACTGTTCTTAAATTCTTAAGGACACAGGAAGAGGTTTGTTCATAAAATGGATGTCGAAAATGAGAGTGTACTGCTTATAGAGAGGATAAGAATTGCATTGAGAATTGGTTTCAGTGCATCAGCATGTCTGTGCGTGCATATAAACAGGGAGACCAAAGTGAGACACATGCATGCATGCGAAAACACACACTATATCACCACATAATATGTATGGCAAGACAAAAAGTTTAAAGAACACAGGATGTAATTCCAATGATTCTCATCTTTAGCATATCTGATGTTTTTTATTTTCATTTCCTCAACATAGTATTGACTATGGATTGAACTATGTCCCCACAAAATACATTGTGTTTTGTAAACTCTAACCTCTACATGTGAGGTTGTAATCCCATTTGGGAATGAATTGTCAGTATTAAGGAGGCAGAAGTAACGTAGGACATGTTTGGAGTCCATCACTTTGGCCATATAAAAGGATTAAAGCATCAAGCAGAGCACAGATGGGGGAAGAAGATGCCAAGACACATGAAGACTGCCCAGAAGCCATCTTCAAAAGGGACCAAGGCCTTCTTCAAGACACAACAGAGAAGTTGTCCTCCCCTATTGCGGGCATGTGGACTTGGGACATTTTGTCCTAATTCCTAAACGATGAGAAAATCAATTTGTTTGTTAAAGCCATCCACTAGCGATATTTCTATTACAGCAACACTAGACAACTAAGATTTAAAAAAAAAGAAAAGACACCCCCTGTGATAGGTAGGTTTATTGTGCCAACCTGGCTAATAAACACATGTGGGATTAATAAGGTTGCAGTTTAATTGAAGGGCAAAGAGATAAATGGCTCAGTGAGCCTCGCCTTTCTTGTCTCTTGCTCCCATGATTAGAACAGTGTGCAGCTGCCTTAGCTGGTTCTCTTCCTCAACTTGTGATCTACACTACCTGTGGGACACCCAACCCGTGGACTGTGTCACTATAGTTTGAGGCCCAAAGCCCTTTGTGGCACCACTGTGTTTGTCTGTTTTCCCTCACTGGCTTTGTGTTCCACCAGCAGGCACCACCCTGGGCCAGGCCTGCCACAGGAAACACAAAGATGGGTCTCAGCTTGTGGGGCTCTGTGATATACTTGTCCTGGTCCTTTTCCCTCAAATCACTTATATAATAATAATAATTTTTTTCACTCTAACATACCCTTTTAAAACATAAACATAATCAAATGAGCAATTGCACATTAATAATGACTAAGGTTAACTCTGCCTCCCCCCTACCACCACTACCCTTTTCCTTTCTCTTTATAAAGTTTATACATACTTAGGAGGAGGGATTAACAGGGAATCCCTTCCTCAGCTCCAAGATAAAAGATAAAATGCTAGTTATAAACAAACAACACAAAGGTATGATACAGTTCCATGGATAGTTAGTGTTTCTTTTAGAAACAAGTGTCAGAAGAAAACAAAAATTGGAATAAAGCTACTTTAAATTAAACAAACACACAGAAAAGTGATTGGCCAATTCTATATTGGAATAAAGATTGGAATTATCTGACTTGGATGAAAAAAGCAAAAATGGATTTGGGTTTCTGCTTATTAGTCAATGAAAAGTACATTTTTCTTAGCTAGCCAGTATTGAACCAATAGCAGTAGGTACAAATGTTTTAAAATGTATGTGTTTGTATCTTTGCCTTATTTCAAATAGGATCTAAGGTAAGGCTAGAGTGGATGCGGTAAAAATGTCTGCATTTATACAATCCTGATCTTACATTTATTCAACTAAAGTGATAGTTTTCAATATTATCCATAGGAATTTACTGCATCCTTAGAAATGTTGGGGAATGTTAACAAGCTTCAGTTCTTCTTTATAAGACAGCGTTATTGGCCTTTTAAATAAACTATCAAACTTTTAATGGTGAATGGTCAGTAATATTTTGCTTATTTAATAAAACAAGTAGAACCAGGAGAACTACTGGTCTTATAAACCAGGAGACCACAAGATAATGGCCATCGCTGAAATGCAAATAATTACATGTTCTATGAATGCTCTAAAGAGCCTGCTGGTGTAGTGGTCACTCATTGGGCTGCCATCTGCAAGGTCCACAGTTTGAAACCACCAGGCACTCCACAGGCGAAAGGCGAGGTTTTCTACTTTTTTCCCCCAACAGTTACAGTCGTGGAAACACACAGGGGAAGGTCCTCCCATCCTACAGGGTTACTCTGCATCTGCATTGACTCGATGACAGTAGTGGTTTCCATGGCTGGTTGGTTGGGGTTATAAATATTCTTGGTCCTATTTACAGAAAGGATCTACTCTTTGCTTGGCATCGTGTTGTAGCCCAGACAAATGGACCAGTGTCCAATAAACACAGTGCTTTCTCCTGCCCCAGGTTCAGATGCATTTTTCTGCTGTACTGAGTGAAAAGAAGCACAGCATCATCTAGTTCTATTCCACAGGACCTGAAATGCCTCCTGAATAGACAATCGTAGCGAACAACTCAACCAGAAAACGCTACCTGCTGTTTCTGGACGTCCTCACGAAAACTTAAATCCTGGGGTTGGAAATGGCGAAGAAAGGGACCGGAGCACTAGAAGGAAAAAGCCTGCCTCACTCACCGCAGTTTTGGTGAGGCTGGCTACCAGCTGACTAAAGTTTGCACACTCCCTCCCTAGCGAGGTGGTCTTTTTCAGTCGCACTTGTGATAACATACACAATACACTCTTTAAGAAGATGTTTTCAAGCTTATCAGCACCTTTGATTCACTCAAAGTTCTCTGATTCCAATACAGGAGCAAGCCCAGCCTCAGAGAGGACATGTACTTGTTCAGGAATAGGAATACGCTGTGTCTCTCCACTGTTCTAAGATGTGGGGAGAACCAGGATGTTAGAGATGAATTGCTACTTCCTTTAAATTTGTGGAGAAAAAAAGCTAAAAAGTCAAACTCTATGGGGGTTAGGGAGGTGGAGGGGGACATGGAGTATCTGCATAAGAAAGAGGATTACTGAATTAGCAACTTCCACCAGAATTTTACTACTGTTTTCTTAGACCTCAAGCCATAAGAACTATAGGTTTAGCAGCAAATTCTCATCATTTCTAACCCAGCCTCTTTGGGGGACTAAAGATTATGAGAATCTAAGAAAACAAACACAAGAGACCCCTTCACTAAGCACTTCCAATTTCTCCTTATTGGAATCCACGGGGCTTTAGACTTCTCTGAGGGTTAACCGTGAACTTGTCTTCCCTTCTTCCCTAGGCTACTCCAAGGCTTTGTGTGTTAGACCACAGCTTTCAAACATTTCATTCACATGAAAAGTTCTTCAAGTGAAACATTTTAAACAGCCTTTTTCTTTCTACTTTCTCCTCCAGTCGCATGGAGTACCATTCTATTTCAACACCCATGGGACGGCTATTTGTCAAAATCAGTGGCAACATTTTAAAATATGTAATCACTTGGAGTATATACATGTTCCTGTGCTCAAAAGCAATTTCCTTGCCTCGTAGCATCACGGCTCCTTATCTCTCTCTCCCCTTCACATGCTAGTTCCTTCTCTTTATTAAAACAGTACATTTTTTAAAAAGAAAATTTGCACTGGTAAATGACACTAGGTTTGGTTATTCTCTGCTTTGTTTTTATTTTTTTGTAAAGTAAATATTTTTATATTTAGCACTGGAATATCAGTTTGGACTTTGTTCTTTAGTATTTTAAACCCAATTCTAACTAAAATGTACTGAAATTCCAAAGTCAAGATCGTGTAGATAATCATTCCTAAATCTCTATCTTAGGCATATTAGATATTCCACTGACATCTATTCATTTGACCTGAGAGAATTAAAAATTCTGAAATCATTCCAAATGCATTTAGACTAAAAAATTTTCTTAAGGAAAATAAAAGAACCCGTCATGAGCATGCTGGCTATATGTTCCAGCCCCCATAAAGCCACCGAAGAATCCAGTGCCCTTTCAATGAAGAGTCAAGTGAAAACTCATTGTTAAAACTGGGTCCCCCATGGACCCAGACTAGAAAGAAAGAACGTGAAAAGCAATGGATGAAAACAGAGTGCATGAGGTTGGACTCGGAAATCTACTGTTCTGCATCTGATAGGGTTCAATTATAAAAGTCGCAATCAAACAAAAGCCCTGGCAATGTGAGATTTCACTAGCTGCATCCTAATAAACTAGATGCTGCATTTTCCTCGCAATGAAATTTCCCCGCGTCCTTTCTTTAAGGTCAATTTTGTGGCAACTTGCAAATCCTCTCCTGTCATCATGGTGTTACTTAGTTTCTGACAGTTAAAATTTTTGTTTCAAAGGAATATAGAAAATTTTGTTCGAAAGTTTTTCTTCTAAACATGCTACTGTTATGTCACCCCTTTAAGAAATAAACCATGCAGCTGATATTCTCTTGTGTATCATGCATTCTCCAATCGGCATTCTAATTGTGCCTCAATCAAAGTTGGGCTTTCAAACTGCAAAAGTCTAATAGACATCTAACCCTAAATGGAAAACAAGCATGCACCCAGAGCTACTTGTTCATTAAAATAGTAATGCATTAATTTTGCCTAGGAAAAATATTGCATTAAAAATTAACACATTATTAAATGATTATATTACTGGATTGGTTAGACTTTGACTTACATATTATACTTCATCTGTTTTATGAATAAAAATTGCAGTAACATTTTGACGCATTTGATGTCATTACAAAACAATTGGGAACTTCCAAAGGAAACACAGAAAAGCGTAAGCCTGGAGCAGTCATAGAAAAGCAGCACATCTCAGCTGAGCAAGGAGCTGGACACAAGCAGGACACAAGAAATCATTTCCCTGTCGACCCAACTCCCAAATACTCATATTCAGAGTATAATAAATAATTAGCACCTCATGAGATTTCAAGCAAATGCTTTGGCTAATAAAATGTCTGCCTGGGGATCTCTCATTCTGGTACAAATGCAGTATCTAGTTTTAACCTAATAAGTACTTTGCGGCATTTTCTGGCCGTGGGCATAGGCTTTGACAGAAAAATAACCTTGATTTTTAACAGATTATATGCATCCCAAACAGCCAAGGAAAGAATACCACACTATCAGAAGCCTTTGTCTCCTCCAGTCAGACACAGTATAGAACAGCTATACCACAGAGTGCATGAGGGAGGCCTACTACTCACGTGGCCTTGGTCATCCAGTTCATTGTTTGTGAGCTTCAACTTGTCAAAGCTTATCACTTGTCTCATCCAAGTCTCCCCTGAGGCCGGCGAGTCTGGATGAATATACACCCGAGGTGGCACCGGGGAGTCGGCATTGCCTGCCACCATCCACTTAGAGCTGTGGTAAACGTACCTAGAAGGCAATGACAGGTTCAGTAGACAGACCAAGGGTCCCTGGGAAAGGCCAACTCCACAAAACCTGGCAAGTGGACATCTTTTTGTTCCCTTCTGAAGTCTAAAAATGGTTTCCCCTCGTTACACTCAGTGGATGTAAAATAGATTGCGTGCTCAGCAAAGCTCTCTGAGGCACCAATGACTTGGTGCTAATTCAGTGTAAGTTGGGTGTCAAGGTTTTAATTAAACAAGTACATGTTATTACTACCATTAGTGCATGTATCTTCATGCTTATGGATAACATATTCACATTAGACATACCACCTGATATCTCAATGCTTTTCTCTTTCATATTCAGTGGGCATGAAAATATTGTTACAAACTCATTCTAACCGTAAGCAAATCTCAAAGATGCTTTAAAGTTATAACATTTTAAGTCGTTCCACTTCCTTTAAGGACACTTTCCCTTTTAGGTTTGCAAACAGACTCATCCATTAAGCAATGGAAAGGCAACGAGAACTTTTCAGAAGTTCTCAAAACTCAGAGCTCACTGGCACCGAGGCCATGCTGACTCCCAGAGGCCCTGTGGAACAGGGCAGAATGCCTCCTGTGTGCTTCAGGGAGGAGAAACCCCAGGCCTTCTCCTGCAGAGCTACTGGTGGCTTCAAACTGCTGACCTTGCAGATTTCAGCCCAGCACATAACTGCTACACCAATGAACAAACGTTTATCTGTTATGATGGAAAATTATTTTTTCCTAATACTATGACATTACCAACTAAGGATAAATGATTCAGTTATATTTTCTATTCAGATTGGGAACCTTTATTTCTATCCTTTATGTCTTTTCCTCAGCCCTTGTAAGTGTAGTCTTTCAAAGAGTCTTCAAACATCACTAGTAGAAATATAAATCAAACTTTGAAAATGATGGCATGGCTAATTTGTATGATGTTTCTAAGAGACAACATTCTATTCTTTCTGTTTATATATGTCACATTCAGTAAGCACAAACATTTTAAAAACAGTTTCAAGGATTAAGATCATATTTAATTCCCTATTCGATTTTTAATTTATTAATGTTCATTTAAAATACAGTCATCCAAAATTTAGAACCTCATATATGAACCACTTAGAAAAGTCCATTTTGCCCACAGGTGCATTCCCTCTCTTTATGGTTTAAAATAGGGTGTATAACTTCAGGCAACACAATTTATTCCAGTCTCAGATCATTCTACTTGTGTAATATACCAATTTCTTTTTAAAATAGCATGATGCATTGTGCTAATATCCCTGGTGAGACACTCTCTTGCAATGGCGGCTACATATTCCATTCTCTTTTGAGCTCTCAATATGACTTCTATGTACTGATTCCTTGTCTTGGGAAAATAACCGCAAAATTTAAAAAAAAATAATTTTTAAAACCTTCTTGAATTCGTATGGTGCATTTTTTAATAAATGAGTTCACATGTATGAGTGTTTTTGTGAATTTTTATTTACATTATTATAAAACACTCATAAATGCAATCATTTTACCTTGACCAAATAACTGCTTTCTAACATCAGAAAATAAACTCAGCCTTTTTCTAAAACTACTGAAAATTATGAGACTTGAAATAGAAACCTTAGAAATGCAGGAAAACTTTGCATCGTCAACGAATTTAGTTACTATCAAGATAAAAAGTAATGTGCTCTATTAAATACTTGAAAATAAGCATATTGGATAGCTTAAAATTCATATTTACTAAAAGAATAGTGTTACATGTTCCACATTCTTTGTAAAATGCTTGTATTCTAAATGGAAATGCTAAAAACACATTTCTTCTTTGGAAACTATGTAAGTAAAAGCAAATTTATGTTTTACAAGTTTATCTCTTAATATCCAGTATTTTAGTACCAATACTTGAAATTCCCATTTTTATGTGTGAATAAATAAGAATCAGTTAAGTAAAATAAACTATCTGGAACACATGGAAGAAATTGAGAGGACTAAAGTAGAAGATTTAACTTGGGAAAAATAATAATTTCTAGGCTCGCTAAGGATTATCTTCCTCAGCACAAAATTAAAATTAGAATTTTAGTTTTAAGCCAAACATATTTAAAGAATAACATCAATGCTCTATAGCTTTTGCCACAATTTAAACAAAACACTTTAGGGTCTATTTAACTAAAATAACAAATGAACACAACTTATACACAAAATACAAATAATTAAATTGCCATTTCTATCATCATATTATTGCATCCCATATCTCCACGAGCTAACTAAAATCTGTATTTTGTTTAACACCATAAACTTGTTTCAGAATTTCAACTCTGTTCTGTATTCCATTAAAAACTTACTGAAAGAAACGCTAGTCTTTTACTCAGTCTGGCTACTTAGCAAAAGCACAAACAAGCAAACAGAACAGAAACTAAGAAAACTAAATCTAAAACAGCACCTGTGATCTTCCAAGCACTCAAAACTTCCTTTTCAAAATGTTAGCACTTTTAACCTCATGAAAATGAAACCGTGGGTACATTAAAATGTGCAGATTTGCCTTCTTGCAGAGAAGAGCAAAGGTTGATTTGAAATTACAGAATGTGCATCTTTTCAAAACTTATTTGATCTCTAGTCAAGTATATTTAATTTCAAAATGAAGATATTACAATAATTTCAAAACCATCCTGTCAGTGATCAACAAGACAAAGTAAGGACAGTAAGGTAACAATTCATTAGCATGTTAGAGATGTCAATATTGTGTTGATGGCACTGCGTTTGGCTTGAGAATTTTCTGAATTACAGAAACTCTGAAGTCATTCTCTTAAATTTCATAAATGAAGGAAGGCATAAAAGTCCAGCAATAACAAGCTAAACTTAATTTATTTGTAGATCTAACAATCCTAGACAAAATAAATCATTTGGTATCATCCATATCTACAAACTTTCCTTAACATTTTCCCTCAAAATTTTAATCAAAAGAGGAATCCACATAAATGACAGTAACATGTACAAATATCAACCTGAATTAAGAGTGGGCCCTATCAATAAGAGTGGTCCCTTCCAAAAACCATTCCTGCATCTACTAAAAAAACAACATGTTTTGACATTTGTTAAAAAAAAAAAAAGGCAAGTATGTTCTGTAGGCAAGCATAGTACCTATATCTCTTGTTGTCCACTGGCACAATATCCATAGCTATGTAGTATTGCTGGTGAGGGTCTAACCCTGACATCTTCACTCTCATGGCTGGAAACATGCGCCTACGGATCCAAGAGGGGGAGGAAAGGGGGGTTTGGGGTTTAGTTTTTGTTTGTGATTTCATCTGGAGGATACATAAGCAAAGACACCTCTCACATCTCCGGTTTTCATGAACACACATTTTAACATTGACTTGGGTAACGTAATCCAAGGACTCAGAACGCAGGCCCTATCGAGACGGAGGTTTTTCCACGTAATTTGCTGCACCCTGTACATGTGTTCCATGTTTACTAAAATGTCAGTATAGTTTAAAAGCAGAATTGCACACTGACAGAGTAATAGCACTAAATAATACACTTTATTTTATAAAAACAAGAGTCAATATGCATATTTACTTCAATAACACAAACAATAAAATGCAACGAATAGTAAAAGTAAACATTTTGAATTTCTGAAAGTGGTCAAATATGTTATAATGTGAAATTTTAAAAGGGTTATAAAAAGCCACAAGGAGCCAATGTGCCATGCCATAACCAAACAATATGTTCTTTATTGAGACAGGACTTCCTGTCTGCAGCATGGTAAAGGTGAAGTGAAAAGGCGGCTCTAAATTTGAAAGGTATAGTAAAACTTCTTTATTGGAAGCAGAAACTAAACACAATGTATATTTACAAAACCATTCCTTCCCCCTCCATAAGCTGGAAATAGTTTCTTAGTTAACCACACTGAAAACCTTGTTAATTGACACAAATGAAACTGAGCATTTTCTCTTGGCTTCTCAGAGATACACGTCAGAGGAGACCCTAAAGTAAATGCACCCACCCTTTAAACGGACTTAGTAACAAGAACTACAACAGGTTTTGAACTAGCAAGAAAAATAAATAGAAAGGGTTTTTCTTTTCTTAGCTTTCATCTAGTAATTTATGTCTAGGATTCTTTTCCGCTAATCTCAATTTTGCTAATTTAACCTTATAACACAAAATTTAGTACTGTTATTTACCAGAGTTTTATTCCTTAGCAAAAATGCCATTAAAAACCACTTCCAGAGAAAAGAGACTCCATGATTCCTAACTAGGCATAAGACCAGTGTCACATGCTGGCAGTTTTAGTGTTATTTCAGTGCATCTGTAAGATAAAGAGTAAAGGTCTGTAACTACATCCCTCATAAGACAACTGTTGCTTTGTATTGTGGAAGACTGGATTTAGATCATTAATAAAAAGCTCTGTGAAAATGCACAAGGTAGCATATGGATTCAATAAACGATGTTTTTGTAATATCTAATAAGTTGGGATATTTTCATGTTATCCAGTTTTTTTCCATGTGTAGTCCCTGAAAGTGGTGTGTGTGTGTTTAAGTTTCTTTGAAGGAAGAGTGTTATTCATAGGTTTCATTCCATTAAATGAACTGAAAATTTTAAAATGCAAATATCTCTTTGCCTATTTCAAATTAGTATACTCTGGCAAACAAATCCATTTATTTTACTAACTGATGCATGCACAAATTGTCTAACTTCAAAAAGTTGCTGCAACTTCTTTCAACAATTGATTTTCTTCAGCATTATTTATGTTAATCAGTTGGGTTTCATCTACAGGAGAAAAAAACTACATACCTGGATTTGACACAAAACAAGTTTTTAAAGTCAGGATAACGGTTTTCAAACAGATATGGGGTTTTACATACTTCCTTAATTATCTCAGTGGCTTTTCATTCTACTCTCCCATCAAAATAGCACAACACACCTCTTTCTCGCATGGTGTAAGGGAATCTTCTAATAAAGATCCAATTTGGAAGTTTACTGTTTGAAAACGCACGAATAATCGCTTGGATACAGAGAAAACAAATGACTTGTTTTTAAAAGAAAGGAAAGAAACGTATTCCCTAATCCCAGGAATGACCACTGGAGCCTAAAAAAAATGTCCAGATTTAACAAAGACTTCAAATCTGCAACTGCCCTGAACTGGAAACAGGGGTGGCCACTGAGTCTCTCCGGGCCTCCGCCTAGCAAAGAGGCCGCAGGGCTGCGAACCGCCTGGATTCGGGAAATTCCGCCTCTAAAGTGAACCGCGGTCGCGGGCCTCGTCCAGTCCATCTAAGTGGGAGCCTCTACCATGCAACGCGCGAACTCACGGGGAGTATCCTTCCTAATTTAGGGGGAGAAGGGTGAGGCCCGTGTCGCGACTGGGGGACATTAGGTGGACCTTCCCTTACCTTCCCGCCTTGGTGATGATCATCTCCGTGCCGATCTCGTGAAAGCGCTTCCAGAGCTCGGCGCCTTGCAGATCTACCCTCGGGGCCTGTGCGGAGGGCAGTGGGGTCCCTGGCCGGGCCAGCGCGGGTGCAGGGGACCCCTTCGGGGAGCCCCCCGGCGACGCCTTTGGGGAAGCACCCTGTAGAAAACCTTCCTCACTGCCGCCTGGGCAGCCAAGGGCAGAGAGGAAGAAGGGGTGAGAAAGAGATCGAAAGGGAAAGCCAGACCCTTCCCCTCGCGAAACCCCAGCCCGGTGGAAAGCGGAGGCCAATCCCTAATGGAGCTGAGGAGAAGCAAAGGACTCAGAGGACAAGAACAGCCTTCTTGTCACCGGGGCCTTTCCACAAGCCCAGAGGGGAAACACCCATCTCGGCCCCGGGAGGAACGCTGGGCGCCCCGCTCAGGCCCACCTGTTGTCCCCCAGATTCCCAGATCCCTCAAGGCCCAGGCTGGTCCACCCCATGGGCCAGGCATCAGTAAAGCCGGAGCCCCCCAAAAGAGCGTCGTGCCTTCGCTGGTGCCCCACCGGGGAGGGGGGTGAGTCCAGAACCCCAGTGCTGATGCAGACCCAGTCTGCGCCCCGAAAGGCATGAGGCCCGAGAGCCTGGCCCTCGGTGCGCAGGAGGCAACCCGGCGGCTCGCGTTGGCTTGGGAAGCCCTCGGGGCCCTCCAGACCCCGCTCTCGGGCTGCGAGCCCAGAGGAGCCACTTCGCCATCGCCGTGGGCCCCGGCCGCGGGAACCCAGAAGGGACACTGGGGAGCGGCTCTGCCACCCCGCGAAACCGTTTGCCCAGATGCCGCCTTCTTCCTGCTCTGCGCCAGCGGTTGACAGTATTCGTTCCGGGTTCGGGAGAGCCTATTGCTGCCCACTCCACCCACCGTGCTTGCGAAAGTTAGGGGAGAAAAAAAGAGCACCCATTGGCTGGGACCCCAAGGGAGGCAGAGGAGGACACTCCCGCAGAAGAATCGACTCGCCAAGCGCCGCGAGAGGCCGGGTTTGAACGCACGGGAGGGTGACCCGAGCGCTGATACCCGCGGCCAAAGCGCGTGCGGCCAAGTTGCCTCGGGCTGGCAGGAACCCCC